TGCACATTCTGCTAGTAATAATGGGACATTCTGAAAATTCAGGCTGTTGCTACCTTAATTTAACAGGTGTTAGTTGGAAGGGAGAAGTGGTAAGAAAATACAGTTAGTGAAAGGAAACAATGACCTTTTATGAGAAGGATCCCTTGCTTGATATAATACTACTGTATTGTAAATCAGTATCTTGTGTCCTTAATTAAAAGCATCATATACTTCATTTTAGGATTATTAACCACAGTGGGCTTCCTAGAGGTTGGCTACTGATTGTTTGCCTTAATTTATTAAATACAACTTAAGCTAATAAGGAAAAATGCATTTTACTTTATACCTGTTCTGAAAGTCTTGAGTGTTCTAACCTGCAGGCCTCTTCCCTTGTAATCTGTTTTGCTTGCACAGATTGTGTACAACAATACTCCTCTTCTGTCTTTGCATACATGCTCAATGTCTTACAATTTGTAATAGCTGTTACGTTTCACAGTATGTTGCCTATAACTGTGATGTGATCTATTAATACATTATATTTGTTCACAATCACAAAGACAAGATGTCAGCATATTTGTAAAGCTGTCTTGGAAAGATGACTTAAACCTTTAGCATGTTGTGATACTGGTAAATGCAAAGCGGTGCTGAGAAAACATTGCTTGGCCAGGTTTATTTTGAAGGCATAGTACTGTGTACTTAAAAGCAATTATGTCTGTGTGGCATTTCAGCTTCTTTTCTTACACTCTGGTTTAGCAGAGCACAAAGATACAAGAGTTAAGACCTGAAAAGGAAACGGATTTTTTTTTATTTTCTGGTCAGGCATGACATAAGTAAACATTTTGAAATAAAAATATCTAAATCTCCAAGCAGCTATTATTTTCTGAAGTACCTCTGCTGCAATTTCATTTTTCCTTAATAGCCGTTGTTTCAGACTTCGCTTCTTGTGGGCTTCATTTTTATGAGGACACATGTTAGTTTTTCAATTGTGCTTTGGGGAAGGAAAAAGATGAACTCTTTGAAGGTAGAGGTGAATGACTGAGTATTAGGAAAAAGACTATTTTCTAACTGTAACTCTGTGGTTTTTACTATTATTTGGGGGCATTGTTGTCTCATAACTTTAGCAGGTAGTGCCTTTTCCCTGTGAGTCTGTGGTAATGTTTTGGCCCTGGCAGTGTTCTCACATTAACCCCCAACCACTCTTTCTGTTTTCTGCTAATGTGTATCTGTTACTTTCCATAGCCATCCACCTGCAGCGGCTTTGGTCTGAAGCCATTGCACTGAGTCTATTACCCATTGAGTACATGCTTTTGATTTAATTGGGAGTTAATTGTGTGACAGATGTCCATACGTAGGGATCACAAAAAGTGTTTTGAGCGTGCATATGTAAAAGAGCGCTGAGTGAATCTCTTCAACTATACACTCTTGCTTGGGTACTGCTGTCACTAGCTTGCTAGAAGGTCTTTGCAGAAGATAAAATCAAAGGTGTTCTCTATTAAAATTCTAGTGTGCTTGGATGACAAAAAGAAAAGAAAATGCCTCATTGCATCTTTCGGCCATTTTTCAGTATCCGTTTCCAAAGAATGGTGAGAAAGATAGTAGATTGTGAAATGCAGTTTGAGTTTTCATTTGCAGTGATGTTTCTTAATGAACACTGTTGCATTCCTAGGACCTTTCCCAAAGGTCTATAGGAGCTGTATGCAGAATTGCTTTCCAGTTCTGTTTCTCTGGAGAGCTTGCTTGGTACCTTCTCACTGAAGACTCCCCTTTGTTTATGCAACTTGCTTGGTCTCTCTGAGGGGGATCTATCGCAAACTGTATCCATCTAAATGAGTACTGCTGTATTCCCTCCTCCTCAGCACTAACACTCATCCAGTGCTGTGCAGAGCCGATGGAGCTCGCTAATCCAGAAAAAAAACCAAAACAACAACAAAAGTTCACTGTTTTAGTAGGTTGGCCTTCTGCCATGTTACCAAGTTGGATTGGCTCACCTCAGGGCCAAATATCAGACTGGCTGTGCTAGTCTGAAGGAGGCAGAGGGAGGTTTTGTGCCTACCAGGGAGGGTGGCAAAATTGCAGCAGCTCCCCTTCACTGACTTTGCTTAAACTTGTTGCAATGCTGTATGCCCTCAGTTCCTTTGTGCCAGCTTGGGTAAATAATCATCCATAAGGTGCAGCAGCTGTTTCACTTGCCGGTATGCTTTTCATCTGTCACTCTGTCTTCAGATAGTGTTTCTTTTAGGTTAATGTTGTAAAGTTTTATGAAGATAGCCATATATTGTCTGCCACTGGCATTTCGAGCTGTGCCTTCAAATGGTACATGATAGGTTTTGGTGTTTATGCTTATTGAACTGAAAATACACACCATTAGAGTAGCTGATCAGCTGACCAGTCTGTTCATCAACCAGAAGATCTTTGGAGTAGCGCTCTTTAAAAAAAAAAAAGAGAGAGATATGTCTGAATGAACAAGTTCTTTTCATAGCATGTATATCTTCACTACATGTTGCTATACATGTTACTGTACTTTCAAAAGAGCTCAGTTGTTCATGGACTTGCAGCAATATTGCAGCCCTAATGTTGGTACTAGCTTTTAGTACATGCTCTGTTAAGAAACTCTTGAAGTGTAAAGAGTATGAAGGTTTGGAATTGACGCTGCTCACAACTGTTGTTGCATATAAAAAGCTGTTGTTTAAAAACAGACAGACAAACAAAAACCCTGCCAGTTTGTTTATATCTTGACTTAACACTTTTTACATAATTTTGAAAGAATTTGAGTGTTGGTGAAATGTTCCCCTGGCACCTGAATAAAGAAGAAAGGGTATTTTGCAGTTGTTATAGTATTGGGTTTGAGCTTTGAGTTCCGCTCATCCTTATTTTAACTGATATATTGAATCTCAATGTAACCTTAGTAAAGACTAGTACCAGGATATAAAGCTAGTCTTTGAAGTGTGTTTAGAGAATACTGGAGATGTATTGATTTAACTGTAGAATTAAGATTGTGTTGGGTGTTAACATTCATAAAGGTTTAAAGAAATTGTAAAATGAAAAAATAGTGCAACTTTCTGACTATAGATAAAAACTGGTCTGATGATGTTTTCTAAGTACATATCTTTTCTTTTTCAACAACTGTTGGGTGTAACAAGAGGAAGAGAGAGAAAACAGAACAATTAATGCACCATATGTACAAAAAAACCCCCCAGTCTGTAGGGGTTGTACTGAACAAGAATTTGGTTTACTCCTATCTATCTTTTTTACGTAGATAGCATTTACTCATTTGTATTGCATTTTGAAAGACTTGTACCCAGAAATGGATACTTGTAGTTGTTGTTTTTTCTTTTAAGCTAAATGTGTGTGTGTGTGTATATATATATATATTAGGTCTTTGTGTCTTTTGTAAACCCTTCCTTTCTTGCAGAAAATATTATATGTTTCTGCACAGTTTTAACCTTACGTGTGTATATTGGGTGAATTGAAATCCAGCCATCATCAAGCAACAAAGTTACATCTTAATGATTTGGGGTTGTTTCTTTTCTAGAAGAAATAAGCAGCTTCACCTTGAAACCTTGCTAGGACAGCAGCTGCGGGTGAGAATGAGCTTCCATATTTAATACATTCTGTTACTTCACACTTACAAACACACACTCACTCATGCACACTAGTGTCACATTATAGGGGAACAGGCCCTCATTAAATGCACGCACCATCTGCTGGTGTGTGGCAGCAGGGTGGCACTCCATAACCATCCTGATTCCTGTGACTGAAATGTATTATTTATGAGCTCAAAGAGAAAATATGCTGCTTGGCTGGTGGAGGCTGCCTTAAGAGCTGGATAACACCATCTAAGGGTACAGATTGCTGCTGGCTATTCATCTTTCCTCTTCTTCCTCTCCCCCCTCAGTCTCCTCCTCAAAATTTTTCTCTTCCAACATCGTCTTTGGAGTTTTTTATGATAGTATTTCAGGCAATTTTGTGTCTCGTGTTTCACTTTTATACAAGATTGAAAACAGTTGTTGAAATACTACATTCTTTGTGGTGCTTGCCGCAGCCTTTTTTCCCTCCAGTGCCACACATAGGGTTTACTTTCTGTAGTAAAAATGATACTGATGTGATGTGGTGGTAGAGAAGTGGGACATTATCAACATAGCTGAGCAGGATCAGTTTACTGCCATTTCTCTTTCTCCTCCCAAGCACGTGTGTCATGAAAGTATCTACTGCTGAGTCTGAATTTTATTTTAATAGTGAAATTGGCCGTATTTTTTTATTGAGCAGTACACTACAGACTGCATAAATGTTCTTTACTGGGTTGAAAAGAAAGGGGAGAGATTTGGAGATAGCTGCAGCTTTGGACCTTCCTCCTTGAAAGCAGAGATCATAACCTCTTCCTACTTGCAGAGATCATGTCCTGTTATTGCTGCTTAGTGGGGACATGGATGAGGAAGTGTTGGACTGAGGGGTGAAATATACTTTGTCAGGAGAGGAGAGGGTTGACAGGGAAGGAGCCCTTTCTGTTATGGCTGGTCCATCAGTCTGCCTTAGTTGACTGCTAGATTACAAAGTCAGAACAAGTAATAACATATAATGTATTTAGTGGTTAGCTGAATGACCTTTAGAGCATGCAGAATAAGAGTAGTCACACTGATTCGAAATAATTTGGGGGATGATTTTTTGGTTCTTAGGCTTTTTGTTATGTTCTTGAACTTTGCAGCATCTGTGCCAGGCATCCAATAGTATGTTTACAGCAATAACAAGCAGTAAGGACTGGATTGGTATGCGAAATATGGTAATTTTCTACAATAACTTCCAGTAAAACCGATTTTTTTTTTTTTTCTTTATTAAAGAATCTGGTCATTGTTTCAACCCGGGCAAGACAAGACCCTGAATAAAAAGATATATGTATAAAACTGGGTAAAATACATATGTGTGTTTATATGTATTTTTAAAAATCAGCACGTTTTAAAGAATGTTGAAATGTCACAAACTGTGGCACCTCTATGAATACACGTCTTTTTATTGTTTGTGTTTAGAACGTATGCCATTAGAAGGATAAGAGATGCCTTCAGAGAAAACAAGAATATAAAGGATTCTGAAAAAATAGAAGAACTAGTGAATAAAGCCAAAGTAAACCTAGAGGTTATTCATCGGCAGGTATGTTTATTTCTTTCATTTCATCTAAGAGTTGTACGCTCCTCAGTTAACTGTCTTATGCCACTACAGAAATAAGTAGATCCTTGCTCATAGCATCTCTGGATGAACAGTAGTTTTTGTATGTCTGAGTCTGACAGGGTGGGAAACATCCGTTTATCCATGATAGTTGCAATAGGGGATTTAGGGATGTTTATTCCATTAACCAGAACAGGCCTTGCTGTCAAAAGTTTATATGCTCTTCTGTTACCTTTTCTGCTGTTTGCTTTACTATGTCTCCACTCTGCTTCTCTGTTCTGTCCTAATTTTCCTTTGAATCCATTTCCTCTAGCTCATGTGTATTAGATTCCTTTCCTCAAGCTTTCCTTCTTCCATTATAGGTTTAGAAGAGTGGCTGTGATACTCACTCCAAGTAGTCTTTCTTGCCTTCTGTGTTTGTTTTTCCCCACCTCCAGATACAGTGTTAGAACAGTAGCAGAACAACAAAATCCTAAAGTGAATTAAGTAAATGCTGGCTAAATGTGTCCAAGCAGGGTGATAGATTTTTTCGTTTAGAAAAAGTTGAGTCACTGGCAATATTTTTTTCTCTGACCGTGTCTGGGTAGCATTTATAACATCTCTGCTCCTTCCACTGGGTTCTATATTATTTAGACGTGAATTATACTTTGGTATACTTTAGGTACTTTATTACTTCTCATACGTAACCACTGTCTATCACAGTGACCACTGGAGATTTGAAGAAAGCAAGCTTCTACACCTGAACTTTCTAAGGACACTTGCAATGCTTAAGCTGTCTCTTCTTGCAAAATCTGCACTTACTGACACCGGTCAGAGCTCAGCAGTACTTTTACTAAATATCGAATGAATATGTGCACCTGTTCCTCCGTGGTCTGTTTTAACATGAATCTTTTAACAACCAGCAGGTCAGTTAGCTGGATTCTTATTTTGGTAGGAAGCTAGGCCCTTTGATTTGGCATTTAAGTACGAATATTTTGGTGCAGGTTAAATTATTTCTTTGGAATTTCTTCTCCCAGGAACAGGTGTTGTTTTGTGCTACCGTAGCTTTGCTATCTTTTTTTTAACCCAAACACTGCTATTTTTGTATTTGAAAAATGTGTCTCAAAGAAACAATTCAGATTGGATTGATTCAATGCAATTATATTTAAATGTTGGGATGTTTTTTCTCATATCTGTAGGTGATGAGTAGCATTTTCAGCATTCCTTTTTGAGGTTTTATCTTGGAGAGCCTTGATATCCAATATCCTCCAAGGAACTATTAGAGGCTGGAGAAAACAATGAAGGAGGGGATGTCACAGGAGAAGAGTCAGAGATCACTTAGACTGATCTGAGCAAGTAGTTTATTGAGTTCTAATCAGTAAATTTAGGTATGTAAAATATTTAATAAGTACAGGTGGATTGGCAGTCAATACTATTTCCTACACTTAAAGTTAGTATGGGATACAAAGATTATTGCTTAACCTTACTAGATGTATCTTAAATGTTACATGCATGCAAAAAATGTCACTTAGCAACCCATCGATGTCTGGTGTAAGGTAAGGGATATGTCATCCTGGAGGGGTAACCTTGAGAGGCATCCCTACTCAAGGGGAGATCGCCGCTGCACAGCCAGCTGCCATGGAGGGAGAGCTCAACGGACCCTGATGGCTGCAGATATTTGTAGCGTAAAGTGGTTGATTTGTAGTCAGACTTTCTGCTGTGTTAATGCAGTTTCGGCCACTTATTAGCCCAGTCTCCAGCCAAACCGGTATTTTTGAGGGTTGGTGCTGAGTTCTCACTGATAGCCTCACACAATAGGAGCAACTTCGGTTAGGCTTACTTGTTGAGCATCTGCCTGGACCAAAGTTCAGTTAGTTCAAACAGGAGGCGTACATCCTTCACAGGGGGTGGCAAAAGACAAGAATGCACAGGGTCATTTACAGAAATCTTCATCAAAGAAGTAACAATTTGTGGATGTGGGATCCCCATAGTAAAATGCTACAGAAAATCTCTTCTACATTGTGGCTAAGATAAGTTCCTTTGTAACTTATCTTATTCCTTTGTAACTTATCCTTTGTAACAGTAACTTTTGCTGTGAAATGGATGACTGAAGTGTACTAAATTTATTTTTGTTTTAAAATATCTTAGCTAGGCCCTACTTGGCACAACTCTTATTATAGCAAGTACTTCTTTTTTCTGAAAAAAGTTCAATTTCAGGGTATCAAAGCACTTGGAATAGGTGGGAAATATTGTTCCTGCTTTATAGATAGGTATCTGGGATGCTGAAATGAGGACACTGATTTGTAGTACCTTAATGTTCAGGGTACTCTCACTTGATGTGGGTAGGATTTGGTTCTCACTGGTTCTATGAGCTTAAATAATAAAAGGCAGTTGTAAGTCAGATGGTGGGTGGTAAGTCTTGCTAAAATAAAAGCTTTCCAGCTTTTCTTTCAACAAAACATGGTTCTGCTGGCTCATCTGAGAGCCATAATAGATCTGGGACAGATTTTAAAATAAAACTCCTCTCCTGTCTGAGTCCTGTGAACACCCAGATTACCTTGTTACTGTAGACCCTGAAAAAAGACACTATTTCTCCAAAACAGACTCTTGACAGGGCAGACTCTTTTCCTTCTAGAGTGTGGGTCTTGTCTTGCACCTTTTATGAAGTTTTCTTTTAGCCTAAATGTTGTCCATCAGCATCAGATAGGTCTTTCAGCTGCCTTGGAAAGACCAGGAAGAGCAGGCAGGCTTGGTTAATCTCTGACTGCCATACCTACTCACTGTCTTTTGTAAAGGAGTAGTTGAGCTTAAGGACATTTTGCGTTCATTGGTTGCTAGTGAATGTTTCGATCATGCATAAACATATACATGTGCCTGTATGTACACAAGTTATCTCTAATAAGCCTGTACATGAACAATGGGTAACTGTTTCATATACCAGCCTGTATTTTGCACGGTAAAAATGTTGTGCATTTAATTCTTCCTTCAAGAAAATGACAGCAATAAAAGGTTAGACAAGATTTGTTATTTTCTCTTAGCATGGATTCTGCTTTTTTCGTTACACCAGCAGAACCATTTTAATCTGCAACTTTTTTTTTTCCATTTTGCTACTTTGTAGTAATGGCAAAGAAATTTTATAAGAAATCTTTCTTGATTCAAGATTGAGAGAAGTCATTGAGAGCCACATTTTGCTCTACCACTTAATACATAAATCTTGCTTAAAATGTTTTACAGGTAGCTGTGAATTTTTCAGCTGGGAATATGTTCAGAAGCAAAAAGGGCATGTAGGGTTCTAATTCCTGGACTAGCACCACTCAAATTTTCAGAATGTGAAAATCTCTCCACGTATGTTTGATTTTTACAAACATAGAAAACCAGTGTTTAATACAAATATCTTAAACATCTTATAATCAAACTGTTGTCAAGCAAATAACGTGAAGTACCTATCTTTCTGTTATATGTTTGTTAGTTGGAGGATGTCTTTGTCACTGGGACATACCAGAATAATGCAGAATGGCCTCAGTTATTGCTAAACCTGCAGGGGTTTGCTCGTTTGTTTGTTGTTTCAAATCTCAGCTATTTAAGGGGTTTCTCCCACATGTGAAATCAATCTACTAAAGCTAAAGTAGTTTTAAATTGGATCACATTTTGGTATCATTCCATGTAAGAATTTCAGGAAAAATATACTTGAAAAGTAAGGAATATTAAAGAGTCTGACAAAACTTCCCATTTTTAACACTGCTGAAACAGTGAAACTTATGTTGAAGTATCTCTTTTATGTCACACTTCCAGCAATTTTCCAGACAAAGTATAATCATGCTGCATTCAGTTTTGGAAGGGTGTATGTGTTTATCTTAATGTTTGTAGGAGTAACAGACAGTAACATAGTAACATAATAAACAATGGAACTTTCTAACAGAAAATAATCTGATAAAAGAAAATCAGTTTATCAAGGTAATTTTTTGACACGTGAGTCCCTGCAAGACTTGATGTTTGGATAATAAGGATTATTTTTTTCTGAGTCCTTTCTACCCCCACCTCCCCACACCACACCCCCCAAAAAAGTTTTTCTACAAAATTGAGAACTGTTGTTCTCTGCAGAATTTCTATTACATTTCAGTGTCATCTCACTTTCAGCTGTGAAGCAAGAGATAAATATTGGAAAAATAGTAACAGTTTTAAAAGTAAGCTTTTCATCATGACTATTAAAAACTTTAGCATCTAAATTCATATTAATATTTACTTGCTGTCAAATTTAATCATGCTCTGCAGAAAAAAATTCATTCTTGCTCCCAGTTTAATTGAAGATCTAAGTAATGAAGTCATCTGACACTATTAAGACTTTATATTTAAAATTAACCAAGCATAATATAAAGTGCTTTTATTTTTAAATGCAGAAGCACTGAAGCAAACATGAGATCTAGCGTACTTTTTTTTATGTTTGGGGTTTATTGTGATGTAGCACATCTTGGCGCTGCTTAATTTTTCATAGCATGTCAATAGAAATTAAATAATATCTCACATTGCTGAAATTTGTTGTTACTCTAAAGTCACATTTATATTCACTTTACATTCTAACTTATGGTTTAGTCATCAAAGTGACCATTGAAGTGTAAGGTTCATAAATAACTATTTGAATCAGCCTAGTGGGAAATGTGAAATAGTGACAGATTACTGTCATTTTGTTCATGTCAGTCACTGTACAATTTGCTTGAATGTTACAAAAGTAGCTTTATAAAGCTGAAAAGCATGGAGGAACATTAATCTTTGCCTTAGTCTTCCTCTTCTTATTATTGGTTTCGATTTAAAAATAGTGTGGCTAAAGAAGGAGCAACTGATTCTTTTCTCAGCACTGTTTGTGAAGATGGGGTTTTTGTGTGCATACTGTGTAAACAGCACAATTTGTGGTGTCTTCCCTGTAAAGAAGGCCATTGTGAGAAATGCATTGTCACAAGTTAGTTTGAAACAGAAAGTTTTAAAAATGTTTGGGCCTAAGTCTTGAGGTC